CATTTGAATTGATGGAAGTTAGTTGGCTTACGCGATGATGGATTAAAGACAACGAAGTTTTGTACCGAAAGTTTTCTTTTGTGTGTTTTGTTCGATGACAGTTTTTCCATCTATTTTTTTTATGGTATTATGTAAAAATATGAGCATGACATAATGTATTATGGTATTAATAGTAAATTTTGTAATTTTATCTTTCATGTTATGTTAAGAGACATTTTTGTAGTTTATTTTCCTTACAAGAGACAAAAGGCAGAAACGGGACAGTTTCTGGAGTCAATTTCAAAATGATGTTTCTAACTCCATAAACGTCCATTTGAGATTCTAAAAATATTTCTTCTTTCCTCTTTGAGTTCTCTAAATATGGCCGAAGGAATCACTCAATTTGGATATCTATGAGTTATCAAGGTTTTAACGTCTAAAGGTCAATCTGGATTTCCTGTGTAATACTTCAGTGTTTTCAGTAAAACGTCTATATCATATGATCTTGGAAAATTTTCATATTTTAACCTAGAAAACAACTTGAAATTATCTTTCTAATGCCACAAATTTCATAGAAAACGGAGTTGGGATGAATTTTATAAAAATTGTCAAACTTGCTGCCCCAACTAATCTTGACAGTGCCGAGGCCGTATATGTGAAGCATAATTCCTTGTCGACATGCACTTCTATCGGCCATCAAATTTTATAAGAATTATTTTACCAAGTTGAAAATAAGTTTTTCACATGTAACACTTCTATTTAAGAGTATTTACATGTACCAAAGGCAGAAGCTATTATGTTTAGTACGTGACCCTCGAAGCGTAAGTTCGGGGCGTCATAGCTGTAGCCCGTCATTTCGAAGAAATCAACACCTCTATATGATGTTAAGATGCCAGCGACCATTACAGTTACACGGAGGGCTACCACGCGCAAGGTCACTGGATGGCTAAGAGGTATTGCAGTGGCACAGTGGTTGAGTGTCGGTGATTTTAGATCTATTGGTTAAACGTCAGAGTTTTGGTGGTGGTGTGGTGATGTTGGGAGGGTTTTATTGGAGGTGGCAGTGGTGTGGTTTTCATGCTGCCATACCTTTTAGCAATGGCAACATCAATCTTTGGGCTGATTAGATCTATTTGGGGGGGGGGGGGGTTTATGTTGCCTCGTAGTGATGATGGTGTGGAGTGGTGGTGAATTTGCTTGGGGTGTGGAGGTGCTACTTGTTCACAATGGGAGTGTGGCTGTAGTCATGACAACGGCGTTGTGGTTGTTGGTGGCGCGACGACGATGACTGCTTGAGGTGGAGTATGCTTGTGACCAATTATTTGGTTAATTATAATCAATAATTGGTTAATTTGTAATATGTGGTGTAAAAGTTCTGACTATGACTCACAATTGATTAAGTCGTGATCAAACAATTAATTGTGACCAATTAATCTAATAATCTATAGTTTTGATTTTGTGACTTATAAAATTTTTGATTTGTAACTAATAAATAATCTGTAATCTATAAATTTTTTGATATGTGATCAAGAAATAAGTTACAATCAATAATTTAATAAGTTGCGATCCATAATTAATTTGTAACCAGTTAACTCTTAAATTGTGACTAATTTGCATAGATTTGTAGCCTTAATATATCTAATTAATAAAATATGTTAAATAAATTAATATATAAATAAAATTTAAAAAATCCGATTTTTCAAATTTGATTTTTTTATTATTAGTTTTGAAATAAGTGATACTTAATTTCTTAGTTATGAATTTTTTCCAAGTTCAAATGCTTAACAATATGGACCGGAACTAAACGGCCAACGTCTAGCGATATCATGGGTGTGCAAGTCAAGCTGATTTTGCTGGTCTTTGGGCTTGGTGTTAATTTTATTATATGGACCTTGCTTTTCCTTCTTTCGCTCCCAACAAAGATGGTAGTGGGTCGGATTTAAGACTGTAAGCAGATCTACCTAAATCCGATTCGATCCGTTAAAAAAATTATCTTATCCGATCTGATCATATAATCCAATGGATATTTGATTGTTAAATTCATATCCGATTTGCTATGTTATAGGATATCAGATCCGAATTTAAAAAAATAATTTTTCAACATTTTTTTTAATAATATGATTTTTTTCCCAAAAAATATATTAACCGAAAAATATATTTTAACTATTTTGATGGGTTCACCTATTATATTAGAAGATCCAAATCAATTTTTTATCCAAGTGATGCTACTTTAGTTTCTTTTCAAACGAGAGTCCTCTTGGAATGTTTTAGTAATCTTCCAATGTGGGATACTAACTTTTTAAATGATACCTCTCTTCTAATATTTTAGTGATCTTTCAATATGGAATATTAGTCAATTGTCAAATCTAAGTATTACTAGTTTATTTTATTATTTTCATTAAAAATCATAGACTCAACAAGATTATAATCACAAATAATATCAATTTAAACAATATAAATTATTTTTGGATATATTTATTATTAGTTTTTGATGTTAGATAAAACAAATTACTGTAGTTATTTTTTCTTATTTTAATTAATAAAAAAATTAAATCTCTTCGAATATTTCAATTAATAATATTATATTATTATCTAATATTATTTATTATTTGAAAATTATGTGTAAAACATAATATAAGTTTCAAAATGGAAAAAATCATGTTTACTAGATTATGATATAATATATAAAATATATTATATTATTATAATATATCGGATCGGATTGTTATCAGATTGAATCAATCTATATTCATATTTGCTCCATTTAGTTAACGAATTATTGAATTTGAATTTTAATTGAATTATCGGATTGAGACTCTAAATCTATCTACCATTAATTTTATTGGATTCGGATCAGATTCAAATCAAAAAATCTATTCCATTGATAGCCCTAATCGGGTTTGGGGTGGGGTGAAAGTTTACCCCTTTTGCTGCCCCTTTTCATTACATTTCAAAATTTTGAGATATGTTATTATTAGAGAATAAAATATAAATTCAAAATTTTACAATTCAAAATGCTTAAACTAACAATTTTTTCTTTCACGCGGTGGTTTCGATGCCCTGCCCCTGCCCTTGCCCTTGCCCCCAGTAAGCCCTAGGGGCTGAATTTTTTGCCATATCTAGTCCCCAATTTCCAAAACCCTAATAGAAACAGCATCGAGCTTCCACTTTCAAATCTCCTCCTCCAGCGCTACCACTATCTCCTCCTCAGGTGAATTCTTTATGCTTTTACAGTAGATAAATAAAACACCCAACTTTATATAACTTTGTTTTCTTGGCAAACATGGTTTTATTTCCACAGAAATTGCACTAAGTACTTTGTATTTTATATTTGTTACAGCTGTATCATAATCGCCTAATACGAAGAAGAAGATATCGACCAGAGAGTTAGCTTGCTCCTACGACGATGGCATCCCAATCACTGTATGAATTATTATTTTCTATTTTTCTTTATTATCTCCTCTACTATGTACAGTTTATTTTAACAAATTTCTTGTAAAGAAATTATTTTTTCCTGGATAAGTGTTGCGAATAAATTGAAGGCAAATTTTTCAAAATGACTTTTAGAATGAGTATAGCAAGAGAATGTTTGGCTAATCTTAAAAACTTCGTTATAAATAAATAAGTAAGGGAGACAGTATCTTCCTAGCTTAATGCTTACAAGAAATTTTTTTCCTTTCCTTCATTTGTAGTGGAGATAGTATGTCCATATTTGCGGAAGCCTTATGATATTCCACTTGATGTAGTTTTTAGGTGTTGTTCCACATGGCCTCATTGTACCTTATTCAAATTTTAATCTACGAGGGTGTTTGATTGCATTAATTTTTCTTGGAAAATATCAGCGTTTCACCCAAATTCTTACTTTTGGATGTTTGATTGCTATTTTTTCGTTGAAAATATTTTCCAACTTTTGAAAATATGTCCAATTTTCCTTGTTTTTAAGGAAAATATTTTCTATAGGGGAGTGATTTTTGTTTTCCTCAAAACAAGGAAATATTTTCTTTGCTAGGTCATATTTCCATGCCAATCATACACACTCTACATGTAGTGTATAGTGTAAAACTCTTCACCCAAGTTTGACAAGAAACTTGAAAATTCATAATTGAGCTTTGATGAATTTTTTAAGAAAGGTAAGTAATTTCGACAATTAAGTTTTCCAAAGTTTGGAATCGAAGATATAGTGAAAATTAACTTTGAGTATAAGCTTTTAGCCAAACATGCTCTAAAATAGTCGTGCTATCATTCTTTTTGTTTTGTTTTGTTTTGTTTTGTTTTTTTTTTTTTTTAAAGGGTAAAATGTCCTAGATATCACAACCCTAACTTCTTCTTTGAAGTAGTCAAATCCACCATGATCAGGTCAAAATCAATCCTCATTTTCTATGACATTGTGAAATCAACGCAACAAGAATCACATTAGGGATAGGATGTAGGGGTGGAGAGAACCTATGTGGCATAATGGGGTGGAAGGAGGGAAGGGGCCATCATACTTGTGGAGACAAGATGGAAGTAGCTTGGAGAGGAGTGGGCAACATAATTGGAAAAGAGGGGTGACAGGACCACCAGGGGCTTGGGGCTGTCTGTAAGAGGAAGAAGATGAGACTATTATGGATTTTGAGAAATATAAGATTGTTTTTAAAGAAACTTTGTGCATGTCTTTTTTTCATAACAAAGCTTAATTCAGGCATTTTTATGTAAATTCCTCGTAACCAAATAGACAGAGAAGATTGCTATTCTTTTGAAAGCGACAAACATAAGTATCGAGTCCTACCAGCCTAGTTTGTTCGCTAAGCTCAAGGAAAAAAGAAAACATCGAAAACCTGATCACCAGCGTTGGTGCAGGTGGCAATGGTGCCACAGTCGCTGTAGCTGCTCCTACTGGCGCTAGTAGTGGTGGTGGTGGTGGTTCTGTTGCTGCAGCTCATCCTTCAGAGGAGAAGAAGGTATTGGTTTAAGTTTCCTATCAATTCATTTTTTTTGGTCTCTGTTCTTCTATTTCTTAATAAGAAGTGCCTGATTTATATAATTTGTCGATCATGTGAACAAGGAGAGCCAAAGGAGGTGAGAGATTAAGACATGGGATTCAATCTGTTCGATTAGAAGGATATTCAACATTTATCGCAATGTGGTTTAGAAGTGATAGTTATGTACCTAGTGGTTTTCTATGTATATTGTTACAAATTATAAGCACCATTTGGGACTTTGGCTATATTCCGATTTCTATTTTTTATTTTCTAATTTCATTTTCTCTTTGGAATAATATTTGATATGAGGATTAGAATGATATATTATGGTTGCTATAGAACAGTAAATATCTTATTTATTGGATTTTCTTTCCATATAAAATTTGAAGCACTAATCACAAACACTGACATCTAAGATGAGGGGGTGGGGGGGGGGGGTGCCTTGGTTTGGCCAAAGCTAACAAGGGAGATCAGAAAAGAATTCATTAATATAATATTAATGAGGACATTCCAAGAATACATATCTAGCAAGTGAGCTTAAACAAATCTAAAAGAAGTTATAAATGCTATCTTCTAGGAAGGTTTAATTTTGAAAAGAAGAAAAAGAGCAAAGTATGTGTATGGCAAATGATGGAACTGCTATTTGTAATTTCTGTGGTCGGTGAGAATTCATCATTCCTAAATTGCAGCGATGCGTACATATACTTTTAAATCGACTAATGACCTTTCAAGCAATCGGCATGACCTTTATGAGGTGTATGGTAATTTCACATCGAACTCATTTTAAATTGTCGCTTATCGATTCATTAACAAAAGATCAACCATATAGACTATCATCCTACTTCTAATAATAGAGTAAGCTTTCAAAGCTGCTCGCAACCTTCGATTATCTTAAGTTTGTCTTATTGGGGACTCGGTAGAATACAATAAAGACGTATTTATCTATATGTTCATTTGCTTAAGGCGATAGTAGAGGGTTAAATAAGTATCACAAGTGAATTGGTAAATGTACAATGTCGTTAATGGTTTGGTGGCTCACTCGCCTCTCCTTTTCAAATAATGTTATATGTGCATCCTCCCTTATCACTTGATGATGGAGGTAATATGTGTGGTGATGTGATGAATGAATTTAAAATAAAAAATGCAGATGTCATGTAAAGAAATATGAAAAAATGTGTAAATGAGAGTCCAAATGTAGCTCCTTGTCATGAGAAACTCACCCGGATGCTACCCTACTCTAGACGAAGCAACCCAACGCTCTTGACGGTTATTTCCACGCTCAATATCGCTTCCATTCTCGCTTTCTCAACCTCCGCTTCCCTTTTTATTTTTCTTTCTTTTCCCCGTTCCTTCACAATCTTCTTTTTTATACACTCTGAAACTTGATTTGAACTTTAATTTTCAATTCAATTTCTGCGACCAAGAACCCACCTTTGATTTCTTGTTTTTCATTTCTTGAAGAACAATGGCTTGTTCAGCAACAGCCCAGATCGTCCTACCTTTGTTAATTAAATCTGCCAGACCTGTTGATAACTCTGATGCTTGCTCTAAAATAATTACCCCCTCTTCTTTTCTTGGATCTACACCTCGTATTAACATGAATCTTTTTTCTGTTAAACAATCGCCGATCCGTTGCCGTCTCCTCCGATGTTGTTAAGGAGAAGAAGCTCCAACCTAACTCCTTACTTTCCGATCTGGTATTCAATTTACCACTTCTTTTGCTTTTAATGTAATATTTATAGCTGTATTTCTATGTTATAAATGGGAAGTACAGTAATTTCTGATTGTCTTAATCTATTTTTTCTAAATATGTATCAATACATTTTTATAAATTTTGAATTATTTGGGTCCATTGAAATTCGCTTAGATGCATAAAGTAATGTGTAAGAGTGTATGCATGCTGCATGCAGTTGATTACAAAAGAAGAGGGCCTGGAATTGTACGAGGACATGTATTTGGGGAGAGAGCTTTTGAGGACGTGTGCCCAGATGTATTACAGGGGGAAAATGTTTGGATTTGTTCATTTGTACAATGGTCAAGAAGCTGTATCAACTGGATTCATCAAACTCTTGAAGAAGGAAGATTGTGTGGTTAGCACTTACCGGGACCATGTCCTTTCACTGAGCAAAGGGGTCCCAGCATGCGAGGTTATAAGCAAGCTATTTGGCAAGACCACTGGTTGCTGTAGTGGCCAGGGTGGCTCAATGCACATGTTCTCAGTGGCTTTGCTTTCATTGGCGAAGGTATTCCCGTTGCTGCGGGTGCTGCCTTCACTAGCAAATACAAGAGGGAGGTTTTAGAGGACGATTGTGATGAGGTGACATTAGCATTTTTTGGAGATGGGACTTGTAACAATGGCCAGTTCTTTGAGTGCTTGAACATGGCTGCATTGTGGAAGCTGCCCATTGTGTTTGTTGTCGAGAATAATTTGTGGGCTATTGGAATGTCCCATTTAAGGGCCACTTCTGATCCACAAATTTGGAAGAAAGGGCCAGCATTTGAGATGCCTGGGGTTCATATTGATGGTATGGATGTGTTGAAGGTAAGGAAGGTTGCAAAGGAGGCTATTGGCAGGGCTAGAAGAGGCGAAGGTCCGACTTTCGTTGAATGTGAGACCGATAGGTTTAGAGGACACTCTTTGGCTGATCCTGATGAGCTCCGTGACCGCGGTGACCATTTCATTTTCGCTCTCTCATTCCTATACATGTATTTGAACTATTCTGTAATTCTTTAGAATGAAATGCGACTATATAATAATTGTTATTGATTCATGGACTGGATCATCATTGCTTTTGATGTGACATTAAAGAAACATAAGAATCATTTCATATAGATTTTGTATACACATTTATCTGGACTAGAACGATCTAAGTTGATTCATGCATAACATACAAAAGTATGCAAGAACATTACATTCTTCACTGAATTATCTCAATGACTTTGAAGAACATTAATGGATAAGTTTAGTTGGAGACAGTTCCATGCAGAATTCCCTGGATTGACACGTGTGGAGAGTTTTTGCTGAAGTAAGACCGTAGTACTGTTATGATCTTAGTTAAGAAATGCAGATCGTAAGTGAGTGCAATGCTTTTAAATGTGTTAATTGATAGGATGGGAAATTGTACTTCTTATCCACATTTTATCTTCATGTTATTACATGGCTTTCTAATGATAGTTCACCTGTCCATGGATCAAGTATTCAAGGGTCCTAGATAGTGGTTGCAATCCATCCAACGGAGATAAGGGTATTTTTGTCTTGAGTAGTATGAAAATCATGAGTTGTGGAAAATTGAAATGATGTACATTAAAGTTACTATACTTACATGCTTCTATTTAATAGCCAAATAGAGTCATTGGATGTGGTAAACTTGTACCATGGAACATTCGCATTTATTTCTGTGGTCTAGTCCTTAAGTTATATTTAGTCCTTATTTGTTTTCTTTGGCAGCTGAGAAGGCTCACTACGCTATGAGAGATCCCATCACTGCATTGAAGAAATACATGGCTGAAAACAAATTGGCAAGTGAAGCAGAACTGGAAGCCATCGAGAAGAAGATTGATGAACTAGTTGAAGATGCTGTTGAGCTTGCAAATAGAAGCCCCGTCCCAGCTCGCAGCCAACTTCGCAGCCAACTTCTAGAAAACGTATTTGCAGATCCTAGAAGCTTTGGAATCGAACCTGATGTGAAGTACAGATGTGAAGATCCAAAATTCACCGAAGGCACTGCTCATGTCTAACCATTTCGTTGGCTTTTCTGTTATCAAGGAATATTGTTGCTGGTAACGTACTATTTTAACGTTTATTAGTGTTCCTTGTATTAGGTAACGAGGTCATTTTGTCAAGGGATTTTTCTATTTCAACCCTAAAGATTTTTTACGAGGCATAGGATGAGAAAGCATGCAGATGAAAATCAGTTAAGAAAAGTATTGGAAGAGAACCAAAACGACATTGGTAGGAAATAAGTCTCTAAATGTTACGATAAGTTAACAAAATCAGCCAACATAAATCAACAAAAATTCGAAATAATAAATCATGAAAATGAGAGAAACATAAAAAACACAAATGAACACGGAGGTTTTCGTCCTAAGGCAAGAGGTTCAGAAGCTTCAGCTATTGGAAGAATCAACATATTAATGGAATCAAGAATTTGTCCAGTACAGGCTTCTTCGCACTTGGCAGAAATCACAAAATATTTCGCAAAATAAGCCTTAGAAATCATTACAACATTCTCTCAAGAATGGAGAATCAAAAGCCTATACAAACAATCACTCAAGATCTATACAAGGCTGGAAATATTATCATTAAAATCCGGCTTTAATATTGGGAGTGCAGAAGGGAGAACACGAAGGACCACAGAGAGTTCAAGAGGCAGAGAGAATGAAAAAATCTTGCACACAGAAACGTTAGGGTCGATTAAATATCGAAGCCACTAGAAGCCTCTCATCCAACGGTGTAGAAGTAAACACTTGGCAAGATCTGAAGCATCCATTCTTATTAACGAAATCATGTTTTCAACAACACGTTTTTGCCAAGAAAATGCACAGCTTGAATTATCAATGGACAACTCGGCCCACAAGCCCAGTAACAGTAGTTGTCTAGCCCAATCATTATTGTGCCAAATAAATTCTCCACATTCTCCACCTTGGTACAATGATTCCAGCATCATTTATAGTGATTCCTCTAGACATAGCATCATTTGCTCTTATACCTAATAAACGAATCGGCAAGAGTTAATATTCAACTGACTCGAGCAGTCCAAAAACTTGTGTAAAGGAAGCACTTTACTTCCCACATCAGTAGGATTAAAATGGGAAGAAATCTTTTCAAGTTTAACAACACCTTGAGAAATTACATCTCTAATAAAATGAAATTTCACATCAACATGTTTAGATTTATTATGTAAAACATGATTTCTACTCAAATATATAGTAAATTGGCTATCGGAATGTAAGACAACATCACTTGTAAAGCCAAATTCATTTAAAAGTCTTTTTAGCCAAATTCTCTCTTTAATAGCATCAGTTGCAGCTATATATTTTGCTTTAATTGAAAATAATGCAACAATCTTTTGTAATTGCGATTTCCAACTTATATAGGAATTACATAAAGTGTATACATAGATTTTTTGTTGTCCCTATGATAAGTCGCCTATTCAGTTAACATACAACATATGTAAGAAACCATAAGGGCAGAAAAGGAAAACAGCTCAGAGATACTTAACCAGCATGTGGGAGGCTCTAAAGTCATTAACAAAGTTGTTTGGGGCCAGGTCT